TGCCTTGTCTTAGAACCATTGGGGGTTTTATGCTTGTGTTGTATTGTAACTGTGATGTTAATAAATAGCTACGGGGAAGCTGCTCTTTGAAGGATTTTTACCTGAGACAGGAGCGTGGGCTCCAAGAGCTGCTCCTTGACCAAAAACTTCCCTCGTTAGCGAGTGAAAAACTGGTTGAAGATGTTCCGTTATGTCTTGTTTTCTTCATGATGAATAAGTCTCTAAACTAGCGGGCATGTGGAAACACAGGCCCAACGACGAGGAAACATTTTATTTGCTTGTTAAAGTTTTGACAATCATGTATTTATTTGGAAACTTTTCAAAATAAAAGGTGCTTCATTTTAAAAGCTTCGGTCCATCTGTGTGTGAGGGCACTTTTTAAGTAAAATCCATGTTTTGTGCTAACGATGGATTCACATGTTTGCAGAGACCTCAGGAAGCAGATTAGAGGAGGATACTTACTCATCCTCATCATCCGCCAGCTCACGGTCATCTTCGCTTTGCACCTCCTCCCACGTTTTTCCCAGTTCCTGACAGGACAGGAGGGACGCTTTAAAATCAGAATACATTCAGGTCGTGCGTTTGCTTCTACAGAACTGCTTCGTTTATCCTGACGTGGAAGCGTGTGGCGAGCGCGTCGCTGGCTTTTACCAGGTAGTTGATGACGTAGAAGCGGTCATACTCGTGGTTTTTGGCGTTGATGCGGCGGTGAGCTTTTTTCCTCATGTGATCCTTCAGCGTGGTTTTGTCTCGAAATGTTTTCTCGCAGTACAGACACTGCAGACTGAAGCGAGGGGAGCAAAATGAAAAGGCGCGCGAAACAAAACTTAACGCTGTGAGTAAAAAGCAACGATTAGCGTACCTGTCCAGTTTGTCCTGCAGCGTGTCGAGGAACTCGCTGCAGTAGACGATGTTGTCCGGCAGTCCGATGCTGAAGGAATGCTCTCTGGCCATGTGGTTCAGCAGAGACGACCTGGAAACAGCACGTGGAGCCATTTTTATAAACAAAAGAAAACATCAGCTGACATCATCACTGTTAGCACTGCGCTGCAGTCCTTTGGGCTTCGTCCACAAGTTGGATGGAAGCTTAACTGGAGGTAAAGACACAGATCCACACAAGAACTGTGGTCAACACCAGTGAGGAGCCATGAAGCCAGATAACAC